TTAATGGGATCATGAAACAAATGCACATACATATTTGTGACATGATGTACCTTGTGTGTGTGAAGTTTGAACTTGATCAATTCAGACATGTCTCGGATACGGATCCAGAACTGAATTCTTTAAAACAAAATGGCTGCCAGTCGGCCATTTCGAACTTGATCCGGAAAAAAAAATGACGTGCATCAAGGTCCTATTATGTTTAATGTATGTACCAAATTTGAACGAAATCCGTCCATGCATAACTGAGATCCGGGTCCGGAATGGTGAAAATGTGCGATTTTGATGCATTTTCGGCCTTAAAATGGCCGCTATTCGGCTATCGTTAATCGGATCATGAAAAAAATGCATGTGCATATGTCCCATATAATGTGTGATGTATGAGTGAAGTTTGAACATAATCGGTCTATGCATGTTCGAGATACAGGTGATCACGGACGGACGCACGGACGGACGCACGCACGGACGGACGGACGCACGGACGGACGGACGGACACAGGGCAAAACATAAGTCCCCGTTTTCGGACTCCGTCCGAATGGGGACTAACAAATCTGAGAGAGGTCTACCCAAGGTACATATACACCAAGTATCAAAGCATTCAGGCTTATAGTTTTCAAGAAGAAGTCGAAAAAGTAAAACATTGACACGGACGACGGACAATCACTCATATGATAAGCTCTGCTCGACAAAGTTGACAGCGGAGCTAAAAAACACAGCTTCTTTGTGACTTCCCTTCTACTGTAATCAGATATGGGATTGAACAGCGCCATCTAGTGTCAGACATACAACATTTACAAGTTTTGACAACATTGTTTTGTAAACTTTTCAATGATTTATTGGTACTCACTACAAATGAAATCTCCTGAAAGTCACAGTGACACTGAGAATGACCCCAATTGCGAAGGTTTGGGTGAAATTGGTGATGTTTATCATACTTTCATTAGTATGTGTTCACACCACCAGGTTGTCCAAGACAAAAAACAATTAAAATTTAGGTTACCGGACAATTTTTCCAAGTTCCAAGAGTCTGAAATGTCTTTGGTAAAATTATTTCTTCATATTTCAAAATTTTGCTCCAAGATATGGTATAAAGAAGTCATTATTACCTCCACATAGTACATGTACAAATTGTAATAATAGACATAAAATTCAGTCAGATTCCAGTATGATAATAGTTTTCCATTACATACAATAGGGAGTCTTCTCCCATGATGCATTGCATAAATGTGCAGTATAAGTACTGGTAATATGCCCAGTAGTACAGGTAACAAAATCAACTTTGGCACAGGTGGACTTAAATTTTCACTGTGATACAATTTTTTTCATACTCAATAAAGTGCAGAAAATTCACATTTATGTTTCTGCTCATTATTTTTTTTTTTTTTATTTAAACAATATTTTTATTTCGTTTCAGTAATGGACATACAACACAAAATATTACATTACATATGGAAAAAAAAAATGATCTGGTATAACATCTAAATTTAC